AGCAATTGGAGTGAAATGGGTATACAAGACAAAGAAGAATGCTGATGGAGATGTGGAGAGATATAAGGCACGACTTGTGGCTAAATGCTACAAGCAAAGGCAAGACATTGACTACGAAGAAGTCTATGCACCTGTTGCCCGCATGGAGACTATTCGTTTGCTGATCTCTTTGGCGGCGCAAATGAAGTGGAAGATTCATCAACTAGATGTCAAGTCAGCCTTTTTAAATGGCTATCTTGAAGAAGAAGTCTATGTTGAATAACCATTGGGCTTCGTGGTCAAAAACCATGAAGATAAAGTGTTGCAGTTGAAGAAAGCTTTATATGGATTAAAGCAAGCCCCACGAGCATGGAATAGTTGCATCGACAAGTATTTTCAAGACAATGGGTTTACTCGTTGTCTCCATGAATATGCTCTTTACCTTAAAGTTCATACTAATGGAGATATCTTAATTGTTTGTCTTTATGTTGATGATCTTATTTTCACGGGTAATAACCCAAGTTTGTTTGAAGTTTTCAAGAAAGATATGTCCCGTGAGTTCAAGATGACAGACGTAGGGCCCATGTCATATTACCTGGGCCTAGAAGTGAAGCAGATGGAGGATGGAATTTTTATCTCTCAAGAAAGCTATACAAAGGAGATATTGAAGAAGTTCAACATGCTCGATTGCAACCGCGTGAACACACCGATGGAAAGTGGGACAAAATTATCCAAGTTTGATGAAGGAGAAAAAGTGGATCCCACATTCTTCAAAAGTCTTGTGGGAAGTTTGNGAAGCAGTCCATTGTTACTCTCTCAACTTGTGAAGCCGAATATATAGCAGCAACATCATGTACCTGTCATGCTATTTGGCTAAGGAGATTATTAAAGGAGCTCAATTTGCCACAAATGGAAGCTACAGAGATTTGTATTGATAACAAATCAGCACAGGCACTCGCCAAGAATCCGGTATATCATGATCGAAGCAAGCATATAGATATAAGGTATCATTTCATCATAGAGTGCATTTCCAAGAAGGAAGTCAGGCTCAAATATGTGAAGTCTCATGATCAAGTTGCAGATATCTTCACAAAGCCTCTTAAGTTTGAAGATTTTCAAAGATTGAGATCAAGAATTGGAATGAAGAAGAAAAATCAAAATTAAGGGAGAGATTTGTAGGACCCATAAAAAAGATGAAACAAAGAAAAAAGATGAAAAAGTTGCAGAAGTCAAATAGGGTGGCTGGAAAGATTTTCCAAGTTGGGCGGCTAGAAAAAGTTGCCAAATTTCAAAAGTCACAAACACATGTTTTGACCGATGGTAATTTGCACTGCAAATTACAGTGAATAAACCATTCTGATCTTCTATAAATAGCAGGCTCCATTTCTCTTTTGATACACACCAAAATAACGAGAGAAGCATAAAGCAGTGAGAGTAATCCACAAATTGTGGTCTGTGAGATAACTAGTGAGTGGTAGTAATATTGTAGTGAGGTGTTTTAAATAAAGAGTGTTATTTCTTTTAAAGTTGTAGTAGTCTCTTGACACTACTGAGTTGTAATATTATAGTGGTAATATTGCTCCACTCGGGTATTGTATTTTATCCCGCTAAAATATTTGATATCATTGTTACTCTCTTGTGTTATTATTATTTGCTGTGGATATTATTCCTGGGCGAGATTATTTTTTATCCCAACACTTACTACCTGATACTGTATAAAAGATCAAACTTATCAAGGAAGAGGTACAGGAAAACATGAGTCTTATTGTTGTAAACTCTCCCAACAAACTAGTTGAGAGAAAGTCATCAAAAAAGCAAGTCGGGCAAATAATTGTAGGCTTTGAGGAGGAGAAAAACTTGATAATTTCACAGCTTACCAATCGACTAGCAGAGCTGGATGTTATTTCGATCATTGAAATGCCTGGTGCAGGTAAAACTACTCTTGCGTACAAAGTATTCAATGATAAGTCAGTTACTAGTCATTTCGATATTTGTGCATGGTGCACAGTCGACCAAGAGTATGACAGCAAAAAGGTGTTGCATAAAATTTTTAATCAAGTCATTGGTTTAGATGCGGAGTTTATGGAGGATTTTGACGTTTATGATGAGCTTCGAAAAAAGCTGCACAGTAGGAGGTACCTTATTGTTTTGGATGACTTGTGGGATACTAAAGCATGGGACGAGCTAACAATGCCTTTTTAGGATTTTCAGAAAGGAAGTAGAATTATTTTAACAAGTCGAGAAAAGAAAGTGGCTTTGCATGGAAAACGTCATAGTGATCCCCTTAACCTTCGATTGCTAAGACAAGAAGAAAGTTGGGAGTTACTAGAGAAGAAGGTATTTGGAGAAGAAAGCTGCCCTGACGAACTAAAGGATGTTGGAGAAGAAATAGCCCTAAAGTGTGAGGGGCTTCCTTTGGCACTTGATATGATCGGTGGAGTCATTGCGAAGATGGAAGTTTTAAATAATTTGAAATCCTTTAAGAATGAAGGGGAGGTGATGGAGGTTATAGAGTTAAGTTATTACCATTTATTGGATCACCTAAAGCCATGCTTGCTCTACCTCGCAAGCTACCCAAAGGACGAAGATATTCGAATCTCTCAATTGAATGCCTTATGGAGTGCCGAAGGGTTTGTGGAACAAAATGCCATGAAGAGTGTGGAAGAAGTATCGGAGTCTTATGTGTATGAGTTAATTTCTAGTAGCTTGGTAATACTTTTCAATGAGAGAGGTATCAGGGACCCGAGTATCAAAATTCATGATCTTGTGCATGATTTTTGTTTGAGAAAAGCTGAAAAGGAAAAGTTGTTTGGCTTTGTAAGTTCAAGTGATCCATCCTCTTCTTCAGATCTGATGCCACTGGGAATGACCATTCATTTTGATGGTTTAGAAAAAAAATTTGCCTAGTTCAGCCATGTTAAACACCTTCTCTCTTTGAAGGTGGTAGGCATGTATGACAAGCTTCCTGAAAACTATCACCTAAGACACTTGAGGCTTCTTAAAAGGTTGGAGCTGCCGTATATAACATTGACAGATTCTTTGCTGAATGAAATAGGCATGCTTGTTTATTTGAGGTGCTTAATCATTCAAATAAAGGCAAGAGCTTTCCCTCCATCATTTGCAAACCTCTTGAATCTGGAAACTCTGGTGGTGCATAATGTGTCATCAACAACGGTAATATCACCTAGTATTTGGAGTCTTCCAAAGCTACGACATGTGAGAATGAACAGTTTTTTTCCTCTTTGAACCGACCATCGACAAACCAACAGTGTTAGAAGAGGAGTCGAAGTTAGAGAATTTGAGAATATTACATGAGCCCACCATTTTCTGTTTGGAAGACAGAAAGGAGATATTCAAAAGGTTTCCCAATCTTCGAAGCCTTAAATTCAGCATTGGCATGCCAACGAATTTCAGATTAGATGCAACAGAAGAGCAGATTTGTTTTCCAAGATTGGATGTCCTTAATGAACTTGAAGAAGTTTCTGCATATTTTGGCCTCAATTGGCACAATGCAAATCAGTGGGATTTTCACTTCCCTTCGAGCTTGAAAAGATTGGGGCTGAGATGGTTTGATCTGACATCCGATTCACTATCAAGAATTGCGAGATTACCCAACCTTCAAGAACTGTGTCTAGACAGCTTAACCATGGAACGCAGTGGAAGTCACCTTCCACAGTCTCAAATCGCTAAAGTTGGCATGGGTGTCTTTTTCTGAATGGCAGGTTGGAGAGGAATCGTTTCCTGTGCTCGAGGAACTACAATTACTATACTGTTCTGAGATTAAGGAGATCCCCGACAGTTTTGGGGATATTACTTCATTGAAGTCTATCGCACTGGAAAGCAATTCTCAACTTGAAGATTCAGCTCTAAGGATTAAGGAATATATTTCGGAAATGACAGGAGAAGACAAGCTTGAGTTAAAGGAGTCCTTGGCGAAAATTGATCTATTTCCTTATAAGTAACATATATAGCTCTACATGTGATTCTTCTATTAATGACTTTTTTTTTCACTTTGGAATTCAGAGAATCTCAAATTTAGTTTATTCCCGTGTAGTTTTGAAACGTTTGATGCTTTTTTGAAATGACATATTTGTTAGGGATATACTAGATATGTCCTAGATCCAATGTCATATTTGATGATTTGAACATATTATTTTGTGAACGTTATTTCATATAATATATATATATATATATATATATATATATATATATATATATATATGTATGTATGTATACAAGATTTATTTGAATGGCAGTATACATAACTGGGCCCTCTTTGTCACTTGGACACCTAAACATAGGATTGTTCCTATAAGGCACTCTAACTAAATCTATTTGTGCCAATTAAACACCTAAACATAGGATTGTTCCTTTCAGGCACTCCAACTAAATCACATCTGTGCCAATTAAACACTATCAAGGGAAAGGACACGTGAACATGAGAAAAACTTGTTAATTTTTTTATATTTTTATTAGTATTATTATTATTATACTCCAAATTATGACTATTTTATATATCCTAATATTTATTCCTATTAAAGCCAGATCGTCATTTTTTTTCTTAGTAAAATCTAAGGCAAAGTTGCTTGCAAATTTTCAGGTGGTATGACGATGAAATTCTTAAGAAACCTAGGAGGGCAAGCAACTTTGCCTTCGATTTTGTCAAGAAAAAAAATGACGATCTAGGTTTAATAGGAATAATATATTAGGATATATAAAATAATCATAATATAGAGTATAATAATAATAATAATAATAATAATAATAATAATAATAATAATAATAATAA